ACCTTGCCAGTTTGAACAGGCAGTTACTCTGCCCCGAGAAAAAAATATTTAAAGAAATGGCAGAGCAGAATTTAATACATGTTTTAAGACTCTCATTAAAAACGACTGTCACATTTACCAGTAAATACCAATGCAGGAATGTACTACTCCTTTAAACAAATGTACATTCAGACAAAGTATGTATTTATTGTTTAGACATCATGCAGATTTGCAAAGTCTCCCACTAGTTGGTATTTAATCGCCTGAATTATTAAAAAGCAGCATTAGTCTTGTACCAAAAGATTTCTCCACTTTATCTAACTTTCTATCAATATCTTAAACTTTCCATTTAATTGCTTCAGCTTCTGTGAAACTGTAAATCATCAGAGAGAAGATATGACAGGTCTTTGCCCAAAGCAAACACAGTCTCAAAAAGTCTCTGATACCCCAGCTAGAAATGTTTGGTTCTAAAAACAAAAAAGGTTTCTCCGGCACATAGGCTACGTCCCGAGCAGCATACACAGAGAAAACCAGCCAGGACAAAGTCCCCAGACACTGATTCCCTGGGGTTACTAGCCCCAAATGTTCATTAACCAAAAACGAAACACAACCGCTCAGTTTCAATTAAAAGCAGCGGCAAAAAGAAAAGTCTTCAGCCTGGATTTAGAAGTAGTAAGAGTTGCAAGGTAGGATAACGTTCTCTAAAAACGTTCTTAAAATGTTTGGTTTTATAAAAAAACCTTCTGTCATCTCAGGCCTTAATAACATCCTCAAAACATCCTCTGAATGTTGCAGTTAAAACGTTATGTCTTAGTTAACCTTACACCTTATAGGAACATTATTTGAAATAATAAACATCCTAAAAAGGCTCTTTGAACATCAGATTAAAACGTTTCTTTAAAACATTTTTAGAACCTGTAGGTAATGTTAGCCAAAGTTGTGAGAACGTTCCCCGCTAGCTGGGACATCTGGATACATCTGTCTCAGGAGCGTCAGAGCAGGCATGCAAACTCACTGAACATACACACTGTAAATGCAATGAGAGAGAAAAGTCCAACGGTATATTTTTTATATAAATTACTCATAATGGGATAATCAATGAGTCTCTGCAAAAGTCAATCATTTTCACAGGGTTATACGCATTGCTGGGATTCAATATACTTAGATTTATTAATTTATTAAAAGTAGCAATACTACAGTGTTAAATTACAAGTAAAAGTCTCACTCAAGTAAGAATGTTAGCATAAAATATACTAAAAGTACCAAAAGCAAGAGTACTCTGTAGTCTGAATCATATGATACTAAATAATGTAATTATAACTATATATGTATTCATGTGTCCCTTTAATGTTGCAGCTTATAAAGGTGGAGCTCATTTGAATAACTTAATTTATATATGTTGACTTGTATCACAAAATATAATTAAACAAAGGAATATTTTTATAAAATAATTAAATAAATGTAGTTATGTTGTGTGAGATTTCCCTCTCATATTAAGTACATTTTGAGGTACTTGTACTTTACTTGAGTATTTGAATGTGTTGCTATTTTTTTACTTCTACTACAATACAGAGGTAAATGGTGTACTTTTACTCCACTACATTTATTTAATACCTTTTAGTTACTTTACAGATTTGGATTAATGATGTGAAACACTTAAATATGACTTTAGTTACACCTTGAGTAAATAAGCTACCCTGCAGTATACAAAGTCATTCAAACTTACTGCACCTTTAGTTTGAGAACACTTTAATCTTGCATCAATAATTATAATCCAACATATAATATATTATTCTGAAATGGACCAATCTGCATAATGAGTACTTTTACTTTTGGTACTTGTATCAAATCAAATCAAATCAAGGTTTATTTATAAAGCACATTTAAAAGCGATTTTTGGTCGGGCCAAAGTGCTGTACATGTAATAACTACAATCACATAAAAACACATTTCTATAATCACAATAAAAGACAATAAATTACAACAGATATTTAAAAAAAAAACACAGGGAAAAGTCAGGAGTCGTGCTCCGCTCTGACTAGAAGGCCAGGGAGAAGAAGTGTGTCTTAAGAGTAGATTTAAAAACCCCTAGGGTCTGGGCCGACCTCACATGGAGGGGCAGAGTGTTCCAGAGCCTCGGGCCAGCTGCTGCCCTCTGGTTTTGAGCCTGGTCTTGGGCACTATCAGCAACAGCTGGTCAGCAGACCTTAAAGCTCTTGTTGGGGTGTAGCGCTGGTGGAGTTCAGCTATATAGGCCGGAGCCAGCCCATTTAGTGCTTATGTATATGTGTAGTATATTTTGATGGAGCTAATACTTTTCTACTTTTTACTTTTGAATGCAGGACTTTTACTTGTACCAGAGTATTCCTACACTTTTCTACTTTAACTCAAGTACAATATCTGAGTACTTCTCCCGTCCCTGGATTACATTACATTACATGTCACTTGTTAGATGCTTTTATCCAAAGCGATTTACATACTCAATACTGTGGGCAATCCCCACAGGAGCAATTTGGGGTGAAGTGTCTTGCCCAGGGACACAACGACACGCTGATTCCAGTGGGGTTTGAACCTGTGACCCCCTGATCCGAACACCAACGCACTAACCCACTACACCACACGCCAACCCGGATATACTCAAGTAAAAAAAACAAGAACCTTAAATGGCACAAATGTTGCTTCACAACTGGTCATGAACGCTAATATAACATATTCAAAACCATTGTTAATTGGATTACCTAATTACGACAGATGTGCACATGCTGCGGTGGATCCTATAATATTTAGTATACACTTGAAGTCAACAGTGAAGAAAGTAAAGAGCAGATTGGCCTGAGGATGGCGCCAGAGGAGAGGGGCTGCTGAGACCCTGCTGTGGAAGGAAGGAGATGTTATGATCATTTCGTTTTTGGGAGAAGGGGTGGGATTAAATAAGTGTAAACTTCTTCCCACCGCTTTTCGGATGTGTAATTAGGTAGATCATTTGTTTATATATAATTTGTAAGTCAATAATATTTTTGTTTATCAATTTGATACTGCTTAAATGTGTACAGCATCATAATTCTCTTGATTCATTTCATTATTAATATTATTTGTTGTATTATTGTATTACATGTTCTAAATAAATCAAATCAAATCAAATATAGCGATCTTCTTAATTTGATATCAGTATGGCGAGCTCAATGGATATTTTTAAAGTATAATAAAAAGGGTTTTACTTTGAGTAATATATAGCCCTAATTATTTTTTCAATATTATTTATTTTATCCTTTTGTTGTCCCTACATTTATTTATTTTGTTCATAGTACCATTATATTATTTATGTTTTGTCTGTGTTGTTTTAATCTTACCATGTAAAGCATTTGTGTCCGTATCAAATGCTGTGTAAATAAAGTTGAGTTGAGTTATTTTAAATGGAGGACATTGATTTAAACAGCTTGATCGATTGCTCCACCCAAGATGTGCATTATGAGAATGGGGAATAATGGGAAGTGTATAGGGTGAAAACACTAGAGTGTATAAATCACAGGAGAAAACATACACTGTTCAGAGCTGTTTAATAAGGTTGGATTTGGTTACACACATTAGTCATGGATTGTGACATTCAGCTTAACCCTCCTGTTATCCTCAGATTTACTTTTCACCCTTTCAATTTAACCCCAGTAGTTTAAAACTCAAGATAATTATCATATTCCAAATGTTAACCAAAATGTATGTCTCTGGTGCTTTAGGTATCTTAGTTGACTACCTAAATAACCATTTAAATAAAACATTACCCCAACCTTCCCCCCCACAGACCCCTTTATACATCCAGAATTCCTATTATGTGACTATCAAAAAATATATAAATCAACATATTGAAATACAATGTTACAGTAAGATCTTTTTGATGTTGTTAAAGGACCAATAACTAAAGCAGAGGGTAGTTTTTTTTTACAATGATACATTTGCATGTAATAGTCACCTCAATATCATCCTACACAATCAACACAAATATGTGTAAAATGTTGACATTTCTATATGTTTTATACTTCTAAAACAGCCTGGGGTCAAATTGACCCCAAGCAACACCGATGCGTACAAAGTGCGTACAGCACATTTAAAAAAGATCTTCATGTTCATTTTATGTTTACCCATTAGTCCTCACTAAATTAGGAAAAGTCATGAAATACTAAGCAAAAAAAATCATGTGAACCATTTTTTTAGATACGTTAAACATTGAATGGGGTCAAATTGACCCCAAGGATAACAGGAGGGTTAATATAAATAAACAATATCTGTAATTTACTTCTTACCAAAAAACAATCCCTGCATGTCTTAAAATAAGGAGGTCTGGACAATGTAGACGGAGCACTACTGGTGCTATTAGATAGTAATGGACAACAGCCACAACATTAAAAGAATCAATACCACAGACAGAGCACTGCAGAGAGAATATTGAGTTATTCAGATTGCATCAGTCATAACAGTAAAGATGACTGTAGAGTCTACAGGAAGTTCACACTGCACCCCCACCGCAGACTCACAGGGGACGTATTCCTATGTGCCACTTTGGGCCTCTTTTGTTGTTTATGCATGGACATTTTAAAAGTGAGGTTTTATAAAAGTGAGTTGTGGGATATATAAAGTGTGACTTGCACTCAGAAAATCTCCACAGGGGGGCACCCAAATGCTGGAACAGATCTGGTAGCATGCCTGTTCTTCTTTTGTGAACCCCACATAGTATTTTTCTTTATTACAAATGCTTTGTTCAATTGTTTTAAATGAACATGGTCAACAATAGTTTCCAAGTCAGTTGGACAGCATAAACTATATTTACATTCTACCTGCAGACTGAAGCCTGTACGTTATATTTCCTACAACTATTTGCAACAGGCTTAGATTTCAGACTATTTGAACTTGCACTTTGTGTTGGTACATTTCACCTTAAATCACCAAAGGTCCTACTTTAGTAGAACTTACACACATCAAACCTCATTCCTATCTTTACTTCTGAATGTTTTACCAGAGGGGTTTGTTGAAATGCCATCATTAGCCTTTCATCATTTCTAATTTCTGAAACCCTTTCAAGCATTGTCGTAATTTACTAATTAAGTAATGGACTAGGAATCGTTCAAGGTGATACTTTTTTGTTATAATCCTATCCCATGAACATAATGTATTGTATGAAAAAGCTGGAATGCAATAAGCATCAGAAGACATGGGCTGATACATGCTAAGAATGACATGAGATGCAAAGCTTCACACATGCTGTTATCAGTCAACAGTTGTCATGATGTTGCAACAGAGTACAATGTGAGACTATACCAAGTCAGTGAGGCTGGAGCGAGGAGAGACCGAGGCGTCTGCCATGGTGAGGAACTCGGCCCAGTTCTGACAGAAGCCACGTGAGAACTGTCCCGTGGAGATGACGAGCCCCCCCAGGCGCCGCTGGCCTGTTTTGTTCCTCAGAGCCAGCTGAGCCTCCCGCTCCGTCACATTCAGGCTGATATTCACAACTTGCACCAACCACATGTAAAACAGCCCACCTGTCACAATGCTGCTGTACCAAGCACAGGTGAAGCAAAGTGCCGAGCTGTAGAGATGAAGTAAAGAGTCAATGAAGCATAACAGAAATCTGTAAGAAATGTAATAAAAAGTATACCAATTATTACAGCTGAGTGTTTGTATTACTTCAACCCCCTAATTATAGAACTTTTGCTAAGGGTTTATGAACATGGTTGGAGTGGATCTGACAAGCAGTGTTCATATATCTTCATTTATAATAATTATGACACAATCTAAGGCACAGAAGGAGGGAAGAGTGCAATGTTTAAAATGTGTATGCACACCTTGCCAAAAGTTTATCTCAGTAAAAATGAACACCAATTCATATATTAGTAAATTAACACAATTTAACTGACAGTTAAACATGTGTTTTTCTTTATAAACAGTTGTAATTTCACAATTTCCAAAGAAAAATAATTGGATTTGATCCTGGACACAAGAACCGAAAAAAAGGCAGGACTGGTAATAATATTTTTCTGCATAATGTTTGTCCATGCCAATGTTATAAATGCAATAACTAATATTCAGAACATATTCATATATCATACTTATTATTATTTATCACATGAATGTTTGGATTGTGTGAGCTTTTACAATGTTGACTTCACTTCTACTCCTATATGTAGTTACAATAATCTGCACATAAAGAGTGTTGTACCTGGACTGAGTGTAGACGCCGGGGCAGTAGAGGAGCGCCGTCATCAGATATTGTCGAGGACAGAGGCTGCTCAGCACCAAGCTGATCCCGTACAGAGAGGTGACCACGAACACAGAGAGGCTCAGCAGGAAACTGCGATGGTTTGCCTGTCCAACACAGCTGTTAATCCTGAAAAACCTCAGCACAGACACACAACACAGTGTTCCCATTTAGAGTTTTTTGTTTATTTCAAGTGCCATTTATCCAATCAAATGCTCTTTACTACCCAAACACAGGCATTTATACTAAAACATTACTACTTTACACACTTCTGAACTCACTCTGATTAGTAGCCTGCTGGGCAACACATGGTCATTAATTGATATACACATGGTCATTTTGGAGGTAAGGCATCCATTAAGTTTAATTGAGTGATGACCTCGTCCTCCTGTTTGCTTTAAAATTGTGTATCTTTGGTTGCTTGGAGCCCGGGTATATCTTTTTCTGGGCACCATTAGTAACTGGGACATTGTTTGTGGAAAGACACACTGCTTTGGATTTTCTTAAATGTTAGTTTTGTGTCAATGCTTTGGACACAACAAAATAAATTCTAATCAAATTCCATTGGTTCAATGTGGCACCAGAATCTAGACAGCAGATCATTTAAAACCAAACATGTCTTTATACAACAGATACAACTATAGGGAAATACTGCAGGATAATATGTTTTTTGTTATTACATTTAATGGCGGATTCATATCTATATCATTTCCATAATTGCTGTTTCTTGAATGTGTCTGCTTATCTGTAAATACAAAACCCAGGCAAGTGTATGCTTTTAAGAGCCATACACAGTTTTAAAGCTGGTGTGACATTTAAATTCAACTGAATTGGCTGAGGATGTGTAATCTAATGGTAAATGGCAATCGTATATGGATTTATATAGTGCTTTTCCAGTTTACTTCCAGACCACTTTAAACATTTTACATATAGCAAGTCAGCATTCATAAATTCACACACATTCATAAAGAGGCAAAGGTCGCCATACCAGCTGCTCAACATTCACTCACTCTCACAGACTGGCCAATGGTAGCAATTTGGGGTTAAATATGTTGCCCAATGACAGTTCCACATGTTGACTGCAGGGGCCAGAGATCGGACCAATTCTTAGCTGACAATCCTGAGTTAAAGCTGCCCATTGGTCTGATTAAAGTCACCAATGCTATTTGCACCCTGGGTGTATATAGCCACATTGGCTTTTTACACCCTGGGTGTATATAGCATGGCAGACAAATGCAATCAGCTATTCAAAGTAGCGAGTGCTAATCACACCCTGAACATGTGATTATGTTTTATATCTATAGGTATTTTTGGAAATGTCATTCGTCGTTGATAGCTAATTGTGAACATGGCAGTAAGGTTATAATTGTTCCACAGACCCCAGATGACTCTTTGGCCAGCAGGTTCTCTAAAAGACAGCGTTATTCAGGAGTTAAATTGGGATTTTGTTTTGTTTAACCTAATTTAGTTCAGTGAAAGTAAGCAAGAGACTTTCATGATCCCTCTATTTTTGCAAAATAAAAGTATAACTGACTTAGAAGTGATCATGGGCCATATACATATGTTGTATCCAACCCACCAGACACAGTGGTGGTCCAGACGCTGGACACAGGATCCACAGGTTCGACAGTGTCCGGCTCTTGGGGGTCGCATTATTTTGCACACAGGACAGCTGCTCAGTTTTGTTGTTAGGGCATTTTTGGTCCCTGTAGCAGCTGCTGATTGGATACATCCATTAAGATGTGTGGAGTCCTTCTCAGCCTCCTGACTGTGGCTGTGAGCTACATGTAGGCACGGGGTCACAAAGCCTGGGCCTCTCTTGGTTTGTATAAGAGAGACGAGAGTGAGAATCACCCCCGTGGTCACAGTATACACCTGCAGCTGGCTGACATTCCCACGAGGTAAAATCTCTGTGATGAAGAGGTAATACATGTAGAACAGGGAGTAGAGAGATAGGGTGAGGAAGAAGAGGGTGCGTTTCTTTTTTCTGTGCGTGGCGTAGTAGTACCACAGCACCATGCCGGGCAGAGCGGTCAGGATGGTGACACCCAGCAGGAGGTGCAGCGCTGCAACTCGCAGCAGGAGAGGCAGCAGCAGCAGGGCCGGGATCAGGGAGATCTCCATTCTGTCTATAATGGCCCCAAGTACAGGAGACTGACATGATCCCCCTTTAGATGGTCTGTCTCTCAGCCACCTACAGACAACAGGGGTCAACCAGTCACAATTACAAACATTAAGGTTATTAATGTGGCAAATAATGTTGGTTGTAAAGTAATGTGGTTTCTGTGCTTGTGATTCAATCATGATTCTACAAACTCCAAGAAAAGTGATGTTACTTTCACAAAGGTAGATTTGAACTGTGTCTTTTAAAATGTAAGATTTACAAGCAATACATAATACATTCACATGTATTTCAATGTCTGTGTGTTTTATATGTATTACTTTTTAATTAATTTGTTTGCAGTAACTAAACATTCATTTATTAAGGAATGTGCATCTAGGAAACGTTTAGCTTAGCACAAAGACTGGAAACAGCTAGCTTAAGGTAACAAAACCCGCCACCACTGAAGTTCTCTGTTAACACCTTATTTTTAAGTTGTTTAATCAGTGTAAGAAAACAAACAGTAAATAACAAAGTTTGCCGTTTAGGGGAGAGTTATGTGCCAGACTATTTCTTGACTAAAAGCCAGGCCAGCGGTTTCTGTCTCCAGTCATTGTGCTAAGCTAGCTAACCAACTGCTGTATAAGAGTGGTATTATTCTTTCTAACAAATAAATTGTTGCCCAGAACAGCTTTTCAATAAGATACTGAACTCCTTTTTCCAACAAAGTGATACTTCTATGTAAATAACATTTAAAGGTAGGGTAGGTAAGTTTGAGAAACCGGCTCGAGATACACTTTTTGTTATATTCCATGGAATGCTCTTAACATCCCGATAGCAATGAATATCTTAAGTGCTTTGACAAAAAATCCATAAAAAAATGTCATCTGTGGAAGCCGTAATACTGTAAAAAGTACGACCAATCATTTTAGACGGCCCGGCTAAAATAACTGGATGGCCTACCTGCCTGTCAGCCTTCCATCTGTTCTGTGCACAAACTTATCTCGTGCCCTCATTGGTCATGTGCGCGTTCGTGTGTGTTGGAGGAGGGGCTCTATAAGGAAGTGGCAGATTTTCTCCGGTTGTGTATTTTCAAATTCTAGCGATCTCGAGCCGGTTTCTCAAACTTACCTACCCTACCTTTAAGTATTTCGGTTTATTTGCTTACTTCAGTATATTCTACTCATTAGCCTACTACTCACTATTTTCCTCAAGACCTTCATACCTGGTAAAGGCTTCATCCAGATCTTCACAGTCACAGCAACATCCGTACTGGTCCAAATCACACTCACAGCAACACATAGGATCATCTGGCTCTGGAGGCTTTAACTTCTCCCATTGCATAATGGCTTGCTAAAGATGACTGAAGTTTACAAACTGTCATTTCAACACGAAAGGCCATCAATTTAAAACTCTATACCCAATAGCAATGAACTGCACAGCTACAGCACACGTGTGTTAGGGAAATGTTAAGAGTTAGTATTGCTTATAAAAAGGTATTATATGCCACATCCAATAACAATGCTCAGAAGCAAAAACAAATATTTTTTAAGATTTCTGTTTTTTATACGGGCAGTTAATATCTCATACACATACACATGGAGCACATACACACACACACACACACACACACACACACACTACAAGGCATACTGCACTCCACCTGTGCCTTTAACTTACTATAAGATCTTCTATTTGTTGTACAAAATTAATCATTTCTAAAAATCTGAGGATTCTCAGTCCCCAGGAGCTTCTAATGCAATTTGTTGAAACAAGGCCACTGTGTCCACAGGGACAAACTATCTGGGCCAGCAAACGTCAGTCTTCAACACTCAAAGATGTACTTGAGTTTTTGACAGTGTTCTTTATTATTTCTTTATCTTATCATCATTTTTGTATGCCTTTTTAGTAATAATGTTAATTAACAAGAATGCAAATGTTTTATTTGTATTAGTAGGATCAACTACCTTCACAAAGCCAACAAAAACATTTCATCTCTTAACTTACCTTATGTCTCTGCAACCGAAGTACAAAATCCTCAACGCACTTCAGATCTACTCTCTCCAGGTAAAAGTTATGCCAATTTTAAGCAAAGGATAAAGAGAAAATGGATTAAGAAGATGACCTCTTGTCAGCAAGCTTCTTCTGTAGATGACTGAGGGGGATAAAAAGAAAACAGCAGCCTACTTTCTCATCACTCATTTGTGTTGAAAAGGGACATTGCAATGTTCCTGCATGGGGCAGTGCTGCGGCGACACCGTTTCTCAGATTCCCCCCGTGGAAGAGTCCCTACAGGAGGGAACTCCTGGCAAGTGGTTTGAAATTCTGTAGCATCTGCCAGCTCACTTTTCCCAAAGCTATCCTTCTTGCATGTCCTTAAATAGTTCACAAGTCCTTCTGTTGCATAGCTTACTCCCTCTGCTTAAACAGCTTCTTCCAGTGACCATTTGAAGTTGTAATACTTGATAAATATAGGTGCTCCCTAAACTGGTAGATACATGTAAAGGCCAGGGGTCTTTCGTGCTCCTCTCCACAGCTGACATGCTATGTTGACAATCCACACTGAGCTGGACGAGTGTGTGCATGAGAAACATGACAGGCACTCATAAATGAGAGAGTGAGGGATGATCCACAGGGCAGCCCCACCCTCTGGGATCATATTTCCTCCCACAAGCATGAACTCACTGCTCACACACAGAATTACCAGATAACTCCTGTGTTTATATACTTGCAACACTGGTAATTAACAGTGAGAATGTGTTAAGTGATCCCTGCAGGGCGGTTTTCCTTTCTCTTGCCCTCCTGATGATCTATTAGAAGTGACAGCTTTGAAAACGTAGAAAGCACACCGGCGTTAATGAGAAGCTGTTAATACCAAGAAGTTCAAGAGGTTGCAAGTGCGAGAGGCATCTGTTTACATATATTAGAGACATGATAGTCAATATAAAAAGTATTTAAATATTCTTTTTCACTTTCAGGTCATTTAATGTGTTCCTTACAGAACTACACACACACAAAAGTAGTTAATCGATTGACAGAAAAAATACATTTTGAAATTATTTTGATACGTTTTTTAATTATTTTCCAATTTATTTTCTAATATTTTGTTTTCTTGGGTTTTGTATTGCTTTTATTGCTCTTCCTACTAGACGTTTATACATTTTCCTGATGATACTGGCATTCCTCTACTTCCAATTTTCAATGTAGAGCGCTTTCTTGTAGATAAGTACTTTACAGTAAGGTAATACTTAAGTAAGGGATCTGAATGCTTCCACACATACTGCACACACTGCTCAAATGTCAGTCGTTAAAAACTGAACAATGAGATCAAGAGAGGCAGATGCATTGTGGACTATAGGCTGGTATATCCTGGGAGCATTGAAGCTTCTTAATGTCTGCAGCAGGGTGAGTCTGGACGGATGAATCAATGCAGAGAAAAGATGCTGCTCTTGCTCCTGCGGGTTGAGCTCATGAGCTTCCATTAGACTTGATGGAGGCCGGAACCCGAGATAACGGCTCTAATCCATTTTGGGAGAATTAATGCTGCGAGTCAGGCAGAACCAAGAGTACATGCTCAGGATTTCACATCAGCAAACTACAACAGATGCTTGCATTGGAAAAAAAGTGACAAGTGAGTGGACAGATCAAGGGGATATAGCTTTTTTGCGGTCATGTTTGATCAAACTGGCCTCATGTAAGGATGTCAAAAACTGTAATTACAGCGTAACGTGGAGGTAAGACTCGTGTTAGATGCCTGTAATATGGATAAAAATAGGTATAATGACAGTGTAAGTTGGTAAAAAAAGGTCATATTACAAAAATGAAATGTCTAATTTTAGCCTTTTTTGTATGTGCCCATTAAAAAGTTAAGAGTCCTAGGAGGTTTTAATTTGACGAAAGTGTAGAATTAGGCACAGCATGTTAAATGTGAAATAAAAGCATTTGTTATGGATGATTGCCTAAAAATGTAATGGTAACTCAGTCCAGGCATAAAAAACTGTTTTGAAATGGACATCATATACTGTAATTTACACTATAGTGTCAATAGAAATCTATATTTTAGCTTACTTTTCCAAAGCTACTCAAACCTAATGTATGGACAATATAATGGTTTAAATTGTTATTCAAAGAAAACAAGCCTTTTTCAAACCGTCACCCTGCAGCATTCAAACAGCATGTGTGCGCCACCTAGAGGTGATCAAGTCTTTCACTGAACATCTGTGTGTTCATGAGCTGGAGCAGTTAAGGTGAGTACTCAGACTCAGGTTGAGCTGTTTCAAAGCTACAACTTTATGATTACTACAATTTGTAATCAAATATATTTTACTGTCAATCTTTCAGAGGAGTGAAGTTTGCTCTGTAAATCAAAGTCTGCACATTTTTGGAGAAACTGGAAATAAACATTTTGAAAGTGATCTTGTTCATTATATTACGCAGTGACATCAACTTTGTCAACACACTCCCCATGCTCATGATGAATAAATGCATACTGCCATTTTTTAACATTTATTTCAGGACAGCAACAACCCACAAATATAATAGAGACATATTTTACAACACAACTCTAACAGAATCATTCATTCACATTTTTGCACATAATATCAAGTATATTTTCCACAACATCACTATCACACTTAAGAGCTTGAAGAATTTTTACCCTCTGATATTCAGTTTCGCAGTGCATCTGTCCCTTTACCCATGCGCATTTCCCACTTGATTAATAATCTGTATTGATCCCCGCCACATCTGGAGAAAAATAAACTCCCTTGCCTGTCATTGATGCAGCGATTGGTTGAGTGCAAGTACAGCATCATACTGGGGCCCACTGATGTTAACCACAACATGACGATGTAGATCAATAAGTGCAATGCAATGGGCTGAAAGTGTTGCTACATCCGCAGAGTAGATTGCATTTTCCAGTATCGTGTTCATGAGAAAAGAAGAGTCCAAAATCAACTAAATGAAATGGAAACGTGTGCAGGAATGTACAAGGGGATGTAAACACAGAGGAATTAAATAGTTCACATGACTGAGGCAGACATTAAGAACACGGGCCAAACAATGTTTCACTGCACTGGGGTTTGGATATTTGGGAGATGTACCGAGAGGTAGGAAACTCATTCCTCCAGGGTCCTGAAGGCGTTCTGCATGTCTTCCAAAAGCTGGGCGAACTCCGCTTTGATCTTAGGTTCACCGTCCTTCACAGGGTCCTAAAGAATCCAACGGATAGCAAATACGTTATTTACCTTGACTCAGAACTAGACACATTAATCTCCAACACAAAGTGAGGAACAATGGCGTACCTTGAACTTCATGGAGCTGATTTTGTACAGGATCTCTCCCATGTGCTCCCGGATCATGGACCAGGTGATTTTGTTGTCGCTCTGAGCTGTGGTCTCCACGGCGTGCCGGGCCATGTCGTAGAAAGCAATCATGTTGGAGAGGATGCCCACAGTTTTGTAGAAGGGGCAGAACCTGTGTGTGGGGACAGCAGAATGTGTGAACCTCACAGTTTTTGGTTATAGAATAAACAAGCAAACAAAAACTATTTCAGCGTTATATCAATTGTTCAGTTATTCCATGATTTCAACAGAAATCAACTCGTGTCTTAGAAAACATGTGGAGATGCTGTAGTAAAGGCAATCTTTTCTAAAAATGTGTTCCTGGTTTCAGAAAAATATATATGGGAAATGTGTTTTTCTGACAGTTGCTCCATTTTACAATGTCATAAAATAAAATATAAATTAGACAAAAAGATTAATATAATTATAAGAAGCAAAACTAAGAAAGTTAATTAAAATGATAAAATATAAAGATATTTATATAAACATAATTAAAGTAAAAATATCAAATAAATGATAAAAATAATTAAAACCGAACAAATATATTGACAAACATAAGAAGTTGAAGTAAAAATAGGCACATTGTACTATGATATATATATATATATATATATATATATATGAATGCTGATGGTGAAGTACGTCCTTGTGCCTAGTAAGTATTGAGGGAGGATTTTTAATTTGTTTACTTCAATTGTTGTTGTGGAGCAAAAAAAGGAGCTATTTCAACGTAAACAGGTTTCAATTGACTATTTATATAAAAGGTTGTAGAGCCATATCAAGCCTTCTGATGGTGAAACATGTGTTTTTGGTTGGTGAGATTCTTTTGTTTTGTACCTGTCGTAGGGGGTGTAACCGTTCTGCTGCAGGAAGTCGTCCTTAATGAGCTTTGCAACTTCTAGAGTGATCTTATCGGTCTCAGCAAGAGAAGCCTGTGAACAAAACAAGTTCCTACAGATCAGTACTTTTCTTCTCTTTTCAGAGTTGTTGATTAACCAGGTTAGCATGCTTACAAATAAATGAT